ACTTATCTTTCAAGACTTGTGAGAAAAAGGACCAAAAATGGGAAAATTCAAAATGGGCCCGTTTGGGACCGATTGCGCCATTTGGGCCTGTTTGGGGCAGGGGGCCTTACGCCCCCGTTTGTTACGCCCCTGTTAGCGGCATCTTGACCTACAATAGTCCCCCATATAACCCGCTTTCAGGAGTTTAGACTATAGCTCACTTAGGGTCAAGCAGGATTTCCAGTATCCACCGTAGGTCCTTAAGCCGAGCCGCCGATGGAAGCAGCCCAGCCGGGAGGGAGCTTCGGCTCTCCGTTCATCCCAGTTAGCCTATAATCCTAAGCCCTAAGCCTATATAACCCATTATAGTAGTTTCCATTGTCTTTTCCATTATCCCTATATAACCCCTATATAACCCCTTTCTAACCTCAATGGAACTTTTGTTCTTTAAAGGCAAAGCTCTATCTTGAATTGGGAGAAATCCAAGCTGTTGAAGACTTTCTTGTACATCTTAGGCGTAAAGTAGGGTGGTGAGTGTCTTTTGAATGGTCACGTAAAGGCTACCGCTCGACTGCACATCATACAGTTCTTCATGATACCGACAGTGTTTCAACCAGGTCTTTCCTAGAATTTGCATTGTTTGCTGCTTCTGCTTCTGTGCTGCATATCTGGTGCAAGGCACAATGCGGTCTGGCTTGCTTCCTCAGCCGGCTCAGGATTGTTTTGCCTGACGCACACGTTCCTGTGGTTTTAAATCATGTCGTTTGCAAAGTCTAGTGCTATTCTGACACATATGTGCTGGCGCCATGGCAATGAAGCTGAAGCCGGCAAAGATTGCGAATTCCGAGCTGCGGGAAATGAATGAAGCTCCTGAAGGTCATCCCAACCTGAACTTTAAGCCAGGCGTTTGTATTCATGGTATACCCTGATGGACACCGACCCGGTACTCTTGCCGATATGGTCCTGAACAACCTCATATACGCCCGCAAATGCCATAATTGAGCCATACCTCAACTGAGACGGCCCTGTCCACTGAACAACGGACTAATCCCCTCCCTCTACTATTGAACTCCCCCGCCCCCCTAATACCAAATACTCCCTGTTGTAGTGTGTTGTCATATATTGGGAGTATTGAATATTAGGGGGGGTTGGCGGGCTTTAAAATTGGGGGGGGAGATTATGTCTGGTGCCATCCAAGGCAAATCGGCAAGCGAAACGGAGCATGGCAAGAATAGTTTTCAGTTGATACACTGCACATCTACCCTCTGTTTCGCATCTTACGCTGCTTCTGAGGCTGCGTCCGCTAACTTCGGACCTTATAGTCCCCCTTAAGTAGATACTATATGGGATATATGGGGATCTTATTATAATAGACCCAAAGCCATATTCTATCTACTTAAGGGGGGCTGTAAGCTGAATTCCTGGTTTGACCTGTGCATGTTGCATAGTTACATGTTGTGTGAAACTAAGCTCGCGTGATGCGAAGAAACGGGAAACATCCCCACATCAGCCAAATCATCCAATGCGCCTACCTTTGTCCTCTCCTAAGCGGTGAGCGGTGCCCTTGCTGGGGCACTGTGATATTTTTTGACCACTGACGCCGAACACACGCGTCTTGGTGGGAACGCTGGCAGACCTGGTGGAACTGATCTCTCCACGAACCTTGGCCCTTGCCTTGTCGACCTCGGCAGCTTTTTCCGGCGTCATGGACTCGTAGCCCACTTCTGAAACCTTCTTGGCAGTTGTTCCGCGCTGCTGGCGGTATGCTTCGGTTGTATCTCCGAGCCGGCTACCAGTTCCTTCAAGCGATCCCAAGGTGTGAATATTGCTCCCTGGCTTGGGCGGAACCCTCCCATGCGACGACGCCCGCGCTGCCGACGATGTGCGCCCGCTGGAGGACGGGCGTCCAGCTGGAAGAGGCCTGGCTGGGCCATTCTTGGGGCCTGGTGGCGGGCGACCAGACTTAGCGGGAACAGGTGCTCCTCCATAGGCGCAAGAGTTTTCCAGCTTCTCCAAGCGCTCCTCGCGTCCCAGGACCTTTCCTGCACATCCACCTCCGAGGCGCTTTGCCATGTGAGAGAATGATGGGATGCGCAGTCCCTACAGATTCGATGACATCGACACTGTCAGGAGGTCATGAAGCCTTTTGGGTTCCGGTGTGCAGGCTTGTTGGCAGTATGTTGATGGGTACTTGCCATGTTTTGAGCAACGCTGCGCATTCGCCATGCGGTAAATCAGTTGCTGCAACAATGGGATCGACCGAAAAGCGATTACCATATCTAGGCTTGCCAACAAACCGGTTTGGAGCAATGGGCTGCAAGCCATCTGGCATTTATCAGCAGGATGCGCATCGACTGCTGTACACTAAGCACATCTCACACGTGAAAGCACGTTCGCGTGCTGCACAATGTGCAGTTCAAACTCGCAGTACCAGAAAACATCTGCGCAGTTCCCACACTTAGGGTCCCATTTTGGTACCCCTAAATCTTCGGTGCCGTAAAATAATCATGAACCCAAAGGGGCGCATAATTTTGGGAACTACCCACATCTTGGACCAGCTGTGTTCAAAAGGCAGTGGCCCAGTCGTCGGAGTCAGACCTGGGCCAGCCTATACTAATGGTAATACTAATAGTAATAATGAGAGTAATAATAGTAATAATAACAGTAATAATAATAATAGTAGTAGTAACAACAATAATATACAGATGGAATTAATAGTAATAATCATGATAGTAGTAGTGGTGGTAATAGCAGTAGCAGTAGCAGTAGAAGTAGTAGCAGTAGTAGCAGTAGTAGTAGTAGTAGTAGTAGTAGTAGTAGTAATGAGCTCACACTTGTGCAATACAGAAACAGGGATGCAGGCGATGCCGCCAAGGACTCCGAATCTTCTGTGAGGCTGTCCTGGATAATGGCGCTGACCCCCCCCGTCGGCTGTGGTGTGCAATAGTTCAGCAACTTGGGGGTTTCCCAAAATTAGGCGTAGATTTTTGGGGGTCCCCATAATAAGGATTATACTAGTTTGGGGCTATCTTGAGGTCCCCCTGTCTTCAACAGAACCAAGCCTCCCCTTCACTGGGCGTGCTTGGTGGGCTGGGCACCTTCGCACAAGAAAAACTGTACTTGCAGCCAGAAAGCCGCAGCAGTGACAAATGCGCTTGAAGATACGGTAAGCAATCAGCATGCTCTCTGTTGACTAGTGTCAGAATCACAAGGTCACAAGGTATTAGTATTATCACTATTAGTATTACTATGTAATACTATTACTACTACTATTGTTATTACTGCTATTGATATGTACTATTATTACTACTATTGTTACTAGTATTTTTCCTATTCTTACTATTACTACTATTATCCGTAGTATCGTGCGATGATGAGGGGTTTCATCCCAGCTTGGCGAGATGCTCAAATATCCGAGTGCTGGACAAGGGGCGGCTCTAACCGCTTGTGCAGCAGCCTGGTATGTAGCGTTTTTTTTTGGTGGTTGAACCAGGTAAGATTGCATTCTGTACATAAACGCTATGCCCCAGAAGGAGGGTATAATCTTGCTTTGTATGGGGTACTGTAGTATTCACGGACTTCGAGAGTCCATATGGGGTACTGTAGGATCCCTAAATGGAATACAACTTGTATGTGCTTGTACATCGTGGCCCAGAGAGATGAGAACTTGGGAAACTTTTGAGGCGTATTGGGTGCAACAGTGAAGAATGCAACATATGAGCTATAGTCTAAACTCCTTAGAGTCATGCAGGGGATTATTTAGGGTTTAGGATTTAAATTTAGGGTTTGGGATTTAGGGTCTAAACTCCTTAGAAGGGGGTCATATAGGCGATAGTATAGGGGAGTATTATAGGGTTCGGACTATAGCTCGTATGTTGCGGTAGAGCCTGAAGAACTGCTGATGTCCCTTGCACATTCAGTGTATGCTGGACACACAGCCTATCCACCAACCTAAATTCTTCTCAAGTTTAGGTGCCTGCAAGACATGTCCACCCCCCAGAAGTACCAAATCAGAATAATCATCACCATCAACATCTCCATAACCCTAGTAAGAGTCATAAGCATAAATATCAATCTTTCTGATCCCTTAACCACCCTGAAAGCCTGGTAATCTAATAAAGTTGCGCTCCCGTCCTGTCGAAGCGGAAGTTTTGGAAGTAGGCATGCTCACGCCTGGCAGCATATTGGGATATAATCCCAACATAACCCCTAATGTAACCCCTAATATAACCCCAGGGGTACTGTAGGGATACTATGTTAGCCCAGAAATGGAGAGGGAGTTATGAATATGGAACTCCCATATAGACCCCTTTAATAGTGGAGAATCAAATGGGAAAGAACATGGACAACGAAATGGAAACTTGCATTACATAATGGGGGTTCAGAAGGATTACTCCAGGGCACCTTCCTAAGGGTCCAACGATCAGGATGGTGGCTTTTTTGACTGTATCTTTGGGCCCTATTTATTGAAACTGGCAAACGGGAATTCCAGAGCCTGATCTTGTATACAGGGAAACGGAAAAGAAACAGGAAGCTACACAGGGGTTTGGAAACGGTTGAGGGTTTATGAAGAGGAAAATCGGATGTTGGGGGATTAGAGTTTAGGATGGAGTTTAGAGATGTGGGAAGCATGTTGCAGAGCGCTGTGCCATCTGCACTGATAACTATAAGGTACTGAGGACTGAAACCTGGTTTTAGCATGAGTGTGCTTCTACTTAAGCAGCGCATGAAAAAAAACTCGTAATCATGGTGAGAACGAGTTCGCTCAGATTTTGGGTCCAAGCACTTGGAGTCCATAAATGGAAGCTGTATACACTTCATAAACAATCTCGCTTTGCCAAGGCGTATGTGCAGCGCCACTCTTTTTTTTGGAAAAGCCTCATTTTGAAATCCTCATGCAGGAGCAGTTCTTAGCCCAGCGCACATCTCTCAAGCCGTGCCTCGGTTGTGAAGGAATGGGGCTTCTCTCTGTTCAGGGGCTTCAAGATTTCAAGCTACGGATAGCTTTCGAAACCGGGCAGGTGGTCGTGCCTTGGATGCTTACCTTGGGACTTCCCTCAGGCACTTTTTAAGTGAAGATGGCAGTGTCCAACAGTGACACCCAGCACCAGGTCTCCTCATGCGATCACAAAAACCCCAAAACCCTGTACAATCCGTATATGGCCCATAGATGCTATGGTCTAGAGTCCTAGTGTTGGCAATCCCCTTAGTAGCCCCTACAATACTGACATAATCCCCCATGTAAGCTTCCTTTGAGGAGGTTTAGACTTTAGCTCATATAATCTCATATGAGCTATAGTCTAAACTTTAAACTCCTAGTATCCCCCTTAATAAGCCCTACTATACTCCCATATATAATCCTCTATATAATCCCCCTTGAAGGAGTTTAGACCCTAAACCCTAAACCCTAAACCCTATATCCTAAACCCTAAACCCTATGTAACCCCCTATAACCCCCCTTTAAGGAGTTTAGACTATAGCTCACATAAAACCCTAACCACCTCTATAAACTACCCTATAATCCCAGTTTCCATTTCATTTTCCATTTTCTTTTCCATTTGATTCTCCATTAAAGTACGTACCCCTAATTTTGGAAAACCCTAAACCCTAAATAGTAGCTTCCATTTTCTTTTCCATTATCCCATATAACCCCTAATATTCAAAAGCTCCCGCAAGATGCTCGGAAGAGCGCTGGCCACATCCGACTCGAGCATCAGGACTTCGCCGGAGGAGGCATCTCGCAGCATATGCTTGCAGCCACTTACTAATTGGGTTTAGGGTTTGGGGTTTAGGGTTTAGGGTTTGGGGTTTAGGGTACTACTATAATATAATAGGGTACATATTGGGGTTGTATGGGGATTATATAGGTATAATGGAAAAGAAAATGGAAATTACTATAGTATTTAGGTTCCTTAATTTAGAATCTGCGGGCTGCTCGCCTGATCAGATGCTTGCAGACGCTGCTAGTCACATGGCTTGGGAACGACCTGAGCATGCAGGGCCGAATGGGAGGACTGGATATGGTCACTTCTCCGAAAATTAGCGGTCACATTTTGGGAGGGGTCTTTTTAACGAGGATTCAAGTGTACTTGGTGGGAGATAGAGGGGCCTCAGTTTGGGGCTACATCAAGGACCTTAGGCAGGGACTCAATGCTCAAGATGCCTGAAGCCTACATGCGTACGGCCTTTGCTACCTGGTCCTTTTGCTGAATCTTCTGGCTACAGCCGGTGTCGTCAACATGCATGCCCCGCTCGTAGCGGGACGAGCTAGTTATACTGGGATGTGGAAAACAAAATGGAAATGACTATAATGGGTTATGTTACATAAGAATTACAGGGTATGGATTGGGGTTATATTGTAATGACAGAACCCAAAAGGGTCTTTTTGTAGTCACAGAGCCTGTCTTTTGAACATACGCATGTCATAGTTCCTGCACCTGCGTTCCATGAGCAACCATGTTCATACTCGCGAAAAACAGGTGAAGGTCCTACCTCACCAGCTTGTAGCTGAGCGTGCGCACAACGGGGCGATGAGGATCTGCTGAAAAACCTGTGACAGCTGCGAGGCACCCCTTGCCTCTTACAATTAGTTTTTGCGGAACGCATCCTTGCAGTGCTGACCCCGCATTCCACCAATCCTATAGTAGGACACACATCTGCATATATATATATATGTACATACAAATATATATATATATGTATACATATTTTTGAAAACGCTTTTGGCCAACATTGGGAAAAGGTGGATGTCCCTTAGCAGGGGAGAATATATACCCTAATCCCAATATACCAATATAATAACAGAATCCAAGTGTCCATTTCATGTTCCATTTTCTCACAGTGATTTCCATGTGCTTTTTTCCATTCTCCCTATCTAATCCCTTTGTTGGGTCCCTAAACCCTAGACCCTAAATCCTTAATCCTAAACCCTAAACCCTACATCCTGTAGGTTGGCCTGCTTTGGATTTTCCAGGTTGTTGGCAAAGGGCAGAGGCCCACAAACAAACTCGTAGAGGCACACGCCCAGCGACCAGACCTGGCGAGTCATTTTGGTGGGTTTATAATTTGGCGTTGAGGGGTTATAGTCCCTCTTAACTAGATGGAATATGGGGTATATGGAGATCTTGTTATAACATACCCAAAGCCATATTCTATCTACTTAAGGATGACTATAGGGATGAGTGAACATAGAAGCCATCAGTGACAAGAGCAATCATAGTCATAGTCGTAGTAATAGTAGTAGTAGTAGTAGTAGTAGTAATAGTAATCAAGTTGCATCTGTTGCAAGCAAAGGCTTGAAACTGCATCGGAATATGGCTTTGTCTAGAAACAGGGCCTTCCCACTTCTCAACCCTGAAATGGCATTTGCAAGTGCAAGAGGGATCTGGCTCAGGCAAGGGCATCACAGGAGTCTCCATAGCTTTCTTCGCCGAGGATAACCTCTGGCGCCTGCGGTCAATAACAGTGTATGCAGCAGCCTTGAAAGCATGAGACTTATGCATTGTACCGCCGTTGGCAGATAAAACCTGCATGACTCTTTATACTCCCAAACTTTCGAGAGCTATGGTGGTTTGCCATGCTTTGGCTAGTGCAGGGTCTTGTCCGTCAACATTCCCACTAGCATCCTTTGACGATGCGACTCAAATGAGGCAGTGGCCATGTAGTGCGGCGTGCCAATGAGAGTACGGCGCATGCCTTGCATCGTTCGTTGCAAAAGAAACACTTGGCAGGAAGGGTTCTGACCATGGCGCGATCGAAACTGGTACGGCAGCAGGGGCACTGTACTTCTGGTGTGGGCTCCGTACCCCAAAGCAGGTCCAAACAGGGCAGGCATTAATTAACTCTTCCTAGCGCAGTGCAGTAAATAACCACAATATTATAACAGTTTCCATCTTATTTTCCATTATCCCAATACAACCCCTATATAACCCCAATACTGTAATAGTTTCCATTTTCGTTTCCATTCTCCCAATATAAACCCTATAATCCCCCATATATACCCATTATTATAGTAGTTTCCATTTTCTTTTCCATTATCCCAATGTAACCCCAATATATTCTTCTTGGACTTCATGTCGCTCCCGGCTCCGTTTTTCTGGTCATCAGAGCCATGGATCGAGATCTCACAGTCGCCAAAAGCCTGGCCGTTTCAGGTCCGGAAACAATACCTGGGTGTTGGGATAATGGACAAGAAAATGGAAACTACTATAAATAATATATTGGGGGTGATATTATATGGGTTATAAGGCTCTTGTTGAAATGCTACTAAGCATAATCATTTTAAATCTATATTGGGCCCAGATGCAGATATACATGAAAATGGAAAATGTTGTTCAACTAGAACCCAGATACCCTCCGTCTCCAAGGCTGCATAGGACAGCATGTCAGGTGAAAAGCGCGTTTTCTGCATCCACAACAGCAGCAACTCCAGGCTCACATGCCCCGCAGACGCGCGAATGCAGGCATTCCATGCCGCGGTGCTGAGACCTCGTCCATGGGAGTTCTGCCAAGCATCATCCAGCAGTATGAGGCTTGTGTTCCATTCCTCTGCCCTGCTGCAGGCAGATACTGTCGCAGACACAGTCATGGGATCAAGCCATGGCCTCTGTGCAGGGAAGTTAATGGAAAGTTCGTCGAACAGCTGCAGTGCCTGAGTCCATCTTCCCCAACTTTCTAGCGCATCCAATGCAGCTCCGTAAAGGACAGCTCCGCTCAGCGACCGGTGCGAGTCCAGTAGTTGAAGCGGAATTCTCCATTGATTGGATCTCTCACCGGCTGTGGCCATGGCTGCAATTGAGACCTGACTTGGAGACATTCCAGCATGCCCGGAGGAAGAGAGCCAAACTGATGCCAAGCGCCACTGCCCAGAATTTGCACATGAACTGATCACGGCGTTTCGCCCAATGATGTCAGGCTCAATGCTGAAGGTGTTGTGAACAAGTGACATCCTGGCTGCCAGCTCCCAGTTGGCTGTCTTCTCGCATGCGGTCATAAGCGTATTGAGACTGATGTCATCAGGTACGAGGCTGCTGCGCAGACCCGCATGTAGCAAATCGCATCCTCTGTGCCATCGCAGACTGTTGCCTACAGAGGCCATCGCTGAGTTCAAGGACACGGAAGATGCTCGCAGGCCTTTGGCCACAGCCTGCCTTAGGCAGCGCATGGACCAGAGCCAGCTTCTTCGGGATGCGCCTCCAGGCCTGCCGTGCCTGCCGTGCCTCTCACAGCTGGAGGATGCGGCGTTCAGCGTCTCAATTGCGACCTCAAAGCCAAGCCACAGCAAAGCCTGGATAATTTGCAGAGAGTTTCGCCAACCGCCAGCGCCCCAACAGTTGGCAGCCTCACTGGCACCCTGATGGCTCCCCATCTTCCTGGCACATGCGAGAGCTTGCAGCCATCTCGCAGATTTGGCTGCCACGCTCAGCAGCAGCGAGAGGTCCTGCTCCAGACTCTTCAATTCCATCTCCGAGACCATGCCAAGGGCTCTCTTCCAGCCATGCCTACGAAGAGTCGCCCTGATCGTGCCCGCAGTACCCTGCCCCGGCTGCCTATGCTGAGTCTGCACTTTCTCCCGGCCAGGCCAGAGTGACATCGCAGCAGTGCTCTTGGCGACCACATGCTTGCACATGATCCGATAATCTCGACGAGGACATGCAAACATGCGATGCTGCCAGCATCCACAACACAGCCAGCAGCGCTCATGCATGGGCTGCATCAAACAGCTCTTGTAGACAAAGAACTGGTAGGAACGCGGCAAGAGCGTTCATGAGCCAGGAAGGCAAGCCCAAACAAGAACAGTCAGGTGCGAGTGCTGAAGAACACAGAAGTGAGCAGTCTGGCAAAGTGACATAGGGCTGCTGCAATCAAGTCTGACAGCACAGCCGAAGTCGATCAGCTTCGGATATCCATCAGAGTCCAACAGCACCTGAACAATGCGGCTTACTTTCTTGGCGTTAACACTGGGCGAAGGGAAGGTGTTGTTTTCCAGATCCGAACGTCGTCCATGTGACGCCAGATAATCTCAACATAGTCTCTAAAAATATAATCCCTATATAACCCTATATAATCCCAGTTTCCATTTAAATTTCCAGTTTCTTTTCCATTTGATTCTGCATTATTGGGGTAATATTACCCCAGTATATAAGGAAACTCCTAAATATCTGGGAACAACCCTTCTCCGAGGCAGCGACGTTCTCAGGCTTCAAGTCTCGATACACAATCTTCCTGCGGTCACATGAATGCAGGTTCGTACGGCCACGCGCACCCCTTTTGAGGTTGTATAGGCAGTGCGCATGGCTTCTAGGGATCATAAGAGGATTTAATACGCCTCATGAGAAAGGTTAACAAACTCATTCCATGGCAAAGCTTTTTCGGCTTCATTCGGATCTCAACATTTCGTGGTTTATTGGGAAAACTGACTTGTATGGTCAGCACTGAGATGAATCCGTCTTTTGCTCTCCAACACCTTTGGGCATCAAATAACCTTCTTACAGTTTCTTAAGTGCAAGGGAATCCCTGTTCAATGCCCGATGCAAAGAGTCTAGCAAATGCCGCGCAAGAATTTCATAAAAGTGCCGCTGAGCAGCTTCTCATGAAGCGCCTGTAAGGCCAGGATCAACCCGCCAATGTAGAACCTGCTAGCCAGTTGGGTTTAAGTTTGAATGGATTAGGCTTCAAGGTTTGGGGCCTAGCGCCTAGCTTGTGTTTCGGGGTAGGTTTTGGGGTATGCTTCGAGGTATGTTTCGGGGTATGTTTCGCAGTACTGGGCGCTGATGAAAAGGGACATTGTGGGGATATGTATTGGAGGGGTCAAACATGCTCCTTTTCATGAAAAATCCCACATTCCTGCATACCATACCCCATGTGAGCTACAGTCAATATTTCCCAGAGATTTAGTGGACATGGGTTCCTTATCACGGGCTATATTAGGTACTATACAACGTAGCTACAAGAGGGACCCCTGCGTCCACTGTTCAGTGCTCTATAAGTTAATATTGACAGTAGCTCATATGCGCTATAGTCTAAACTCCTAGTATCCCACGTAATAAGCCGTGTAGTCAGAGCCCTTTATAATCCCCCCTTTAATTCAAGGTTAAGGAGTTTAGACTCTAGATCATATATACCCTATATCTTCCTCATGGACCCTTGATCACCCTAAACCCTAGACCCTAAACCCCAAACCCTAAACCCCAAACCCCGAACCCTAGACCCTAAACCCCAAACCCTGAACCCCAAACCCCGAACCCTAGACCCTAAACCCCAAACCCTGAACCCCAAACCCCGAACCCTAGACCCTAAACCCCAAACCCTGAACCCCA